CAGATAGATGTCTGACTTATTTGATTTAAAACTTAAAGTGTACTTCAAAATTAAAGACAAGCAAAAGAAAAAAAAAAAAATTGTTTAATTGTGCAGCAATAGTATACCAATCCATGCAATGTCTCACCCAATACCTAAATGGAGCATGACCAACACCACAGGATACTCCATACTCCCTTTCCAGCCTCGCTTTTTGCTGAGACTGCCAGCAAGCATGTCAACTCTGGGAACACTCCTGCCAATGTAGAGCCTTACTTCCCTCCATACTGAAGTGAGAAAAACAAAATCTTTCCACTCTAGCACATCAGGCAAGGGCAATCAGGTACTGACACATTATCAGGATCAGAAGCAAGCCTTTTTTTCCCACATCCATAAGAAATTAAAGCTTCTCGTAAGTTATATGATTTTTATTATTAAGCAAACTATTTTTTTCCTAACCACAAAGGCCTGGACTTTTAAAAGCAAGATGGCAGGCATCACACCAAGCAGCAAGGTAAAGTGTAAATTAGGTGCAAAGCTATGTGAAATTTGAAGACTGGTACTCTATGTGTGATCTCTTTCAAAAGCAAATTCCCAAAATTCTTCCATTGKTCTTTAGAAAGACCCAGAACTGGCCAGTGTCAAAGAAAGCAGTKCTTGGTAATAATTTCCAGTGATAAATATCACTATGTTTTAAAGCTTGTTTTCACAGGTTTCTGTGTCTTGGTACTGATTTTAGGAGAATATATTAATCAAATACAAAACAGCAATGCAGAAAGAAGTACTGACACGGACAGGGATAATCCTGTCCTCAATGCTGATATTGAAATACATACTTCTGCCCAGCTGACAAGAGAGTATCCCACTGAGATTTCTACAGATGCCCTGGAGCGGAAGGACAGTAGATATGAACTCCCAAATACACAAGATCAGAAAGGGAAAATAAGTCATTATCAGAAACATTTCATCAGTTAGACACAAACTGCTGTCAAAATCACAGAGGAAATAAATGGGGGGAAAAAAAACAAAAAAAACCCAAAAAACAACAGAAAAATCTCCTCAATCTCCCTAACATTCATAGGAGTAACAGGGATTACTTGAAAAAATAGCAGATCTTTTTAAAAACGGTAGCATGGTTCGAGTTGCCAGCATGCTTTCAATTATGTTTAGAAASTTAGTCTGTTGCATGAACTAGACAAATTAAGTCGTTCAAAATTAAAGTGAAGTTGCTGATTTGCCAGCATTTTTAATCCTGCAATTTACAAACTTAAATACATTCTTAACCATACCCTTTTAATAAGCAAATATACTCACACTGGCAACTTTCAATACACTGACTGATGTGATGGTTTAAAGTATTTCAAGGAGGATATTTGGGTCTCTTGACTTTATATTTTAGCATTGCCAAAACACACATCCTCATAACACCAAATAAGAAAGTCAAGCTTTGGTGTACACTAAGACTGACCAAAAGTGCCTAAAAACAAACAGGAAATACACAGATTTTAAAGGCCAGAAGGGACTGCTACGATTGCCAATCTCACTTCTGCACAAAGGAGCCTGTAAGATTTCACCCCAAAAATCCGGCAGCAAGTATTCAGAAACTGAATAACAGCTGAACATCTGGCACAGAAACATCCTTGGTGTAAATCACCTAAATCACGAYTAATACTTAATTTATGAAAAGTCTCAGTTTTCCCTCTGCAAAAGGCAGGATACACAGATCTCCCAAGTACATCAGAGTGATACTTTCACAGCACAACAGGATGAATTATTAAGAATGGAACTCCTCCATACATGTTTCCACYTTTACTACACATAATGGTAAGTGATTCCATGAATGACAGCTCCATTCATTGAAATATTTCAGGTTTGAAATTTCATTTCTACATTGTCATGCTTWAAAATACAATCACAAAATCCCATTTATTGTTTTTTTCATGAAAATAATTCTAGCAATCTGTGTGGTTTATCATTATTTGCATAGTAGATACTAACTCAAAACTAATTAAGAATTATTCCTACAAGGAAGAAAATCCAAAGCCACGTTGATTACATTTTCCTTTCTGTTTGTAATATTCACTTTTTGCCCCTTTCTCCACATTTTCTATCATCAGATCCAGGGATATATCAGATCCAGGGACATCTGGATAGATGAGCTGGATCCACAAAGGTTCACATGACCCTCATTCTATTAGCATATTCAGAAACCTTAAATCAGCGTTCAATTTGCAAGAAACTAGAAATAACCTCAGGTCTACGAGTGCTCTCAGAGTAAGAATTTGCCTTCATATACTTCCCAGTTGTTGTCTGAACACTGAAAGCCACATTTTCCAAAGCTGCTTTTATTCTTGCAAACACAAACTTGAGGTGAGAAGAGGCCAAACGTAAAGCTGTTTGTCTGTTCTTAAATGCTGCTGTACTACAGCCATAAAGACAGTAGTTTTATTTGTACTAAAACATGGAAATCCAAGGTAATTAAAATCACATTTAAAAAAAAAAMCACATTAAAAACACATTCTAAACATAGCTCTATGTCATAACTTGTATTTAAAATTATTCTTGAAACTTTGTGTTTATTTATGCTGCTACTGATAGCTGATGTTTATCCGCCAAACATATCACGAATAGATAAGATTAAACTATGGTTTTAAAATTTATTAGAAAAAATTCATTTGTAAGAGAGCTTCTCACAAAATTAAGCATCAAGCTTTTCTCTTGGTGTCTGTTCAAAATCTCGGATGGCTGATCTTTATAAAAACACTATTTGAGGCCAAATTTGACATAGATCTTAAAACACAGCATAAAATTACTTTTAAAAATTATTATTGTAAGTGCACAGATTTTTCTCCCATTTTAAGTGCAAAAAAAAAAAACTATTTCCATTCCCCATTAAAGCATTTTTAATTTGAAATTGTTAAGTACTAAAAATCAACAATCTTAACACAATGAAGATGCAATATGAGATATGAAGCTTCATAGCCCACCTTTCTTCTTGACTGGCATTCTTCTTCCTACTTCTGAATCTGGTTGCAAGCACTTATTTACAGGTACTAACGAAGTACTACTGGAACACTCTGCAAGGTCAGGAACTGACTATCTATTGTAGAACACTTTTATAGTTCAGTTAGGAAATGCAGCTTCAATCTTCCTTTCTATGAATTCTTGCTGTTCCCTTGGATTGGACTTCCGACACTTTCCACAAATAAAAAAAAAAAAAAAAGGGGGAGGAAAAAGAAGCTTTTTGATTCTTTTTTAGAGATGTTTTTAATTTCTTTAAAATATATTTGACTCTATAAAAATACAAGAGCAAACGTTCCTTGGCAATATAAAATCTTATTATAACTCCTCTTCTGGCAGCAAAGTTTGAAAATTAAAAGATTTTATGTAATACAATTAAGGCACAGTCCATCTCTAGGCAGATGTCTCAATACTCCACCTGTACATGCTCAAAAACATATTATTTGCAGGACAAAAACGCCCAAGTAATCCAAATAAGGAGGAAGACAAAAACAWTCCAAAGTGCCTCTTTAAGTTCTTTCACTTCTTGAATTAATTTTGCTAGCTATATATTAGGTGACTACACAGCAGACTGAAAAGATCCCTTTTTCCTCACCAGACAAGAGCCTTCAAATATCACCCTCTTACCCAACAGAAGTCACTGGGCAGACACTTTCATTTTTATTATCTGCAAGCCACCCAGCCTTACGGTCTTTAATGTCCCTCTGATCCTCCCATGTATTAAAAGAGAGGATTGAAAACGAGGAAAGCAATCCCTTGACCTGGAATTATTAAAGTGACAGTGCTGCTCACTGGGCACTTGGGCAAAGCAGATTGCTTTATACTGGAGTCATTTACTTCATGCCATTCCTTCCCTTGCACAGCAGCAGCCACCTCGTGAAAGAGGAATAAGGAGAATTAGGAGAAGAGCTTCACAAAAGGTTCATTTTCAGAGATAATGAAGTGTTAATGAAATAAAAAGCAAGCCATGAGATCAGTCCGGAGTTTCCCACTCAGAAGCGCAGCTGGTTGGCTTCAATATCAGCCTCTCTCTCTCTCTCCCTTTTTCTGGAAAAAACAAAAAGAGAAACAGAAACGGGATAGATTTTCCTCATCTACCTCGTTAAGGAAAAGTCTGAGAAAGGCGGACAAGCTCCGAACGCTTCCCTTCCCCGCGTGAACGAGGAGCTGCGATGCCCATGACAGAGCTTTGCTGTGCATGTCTTCCCYGGGAGATGGGAGCTGTGTTTGTGAGGAGGGCGGCTCTGCTTTGCTCTCTAATGTTCACAGTCGGAATCTGTTCGTCCCCGCATCCCTCGGGCCGAGATTCAGGGGCTGTCCCCCCTCATSCCCTCCCCACTCCACCCTCCCCGTTCCCTCGAACCCGAAGGGATGTGCCTGATGCTTTCTGAGGCGAAACAAGGCACTGAGGGCTGGCTGGGACGGTGGCGGACTGGGATGGGGTGCAGGTGAACCAGCAGAGCCAGGCTGGTTTTGAGGRAGAGGACAATTCCCCCCAGGGTTGCTAAGGGACAGGCGAGAGGCAGGAGCTGAGGGGATGAGGGAGGGGTTGGAGGTGGGGCGAAGCGACACGCAGCCGGGACGAGGGGCGCACGAAGGGGGCGGGACGGGGGGAGCACAAAGGAGCCGGTGGCGAGGGAAGGGGACAGCGGGCGGGAGGGCAGCGGGCGGAGCGGGGGCTGAGGGGGCGGGGAAGGGGCGCGGGCTGAGGGGAAGGGGTCAGCGGGTTACCCCGAGGACTGGGCCTCCCCGCACCGAAGGGGGAGTCCCCGCGTCCCGGCCGCCGGTGCAGAGTCCGCGCTCAGCCCCGCCGCCATCGAGGAGCTGCCGCCGCCATCCGCCGCCCCGGCAACCAGCGCCGGGCCCCGCCCGCCGGCCCGCGGCCAATCGGCGGCCGCCATGCTGGGCCCGCGGCCAACGGCCCAATCAGRGACGGCCTCTGAAGGCCCTGGGTCATGTGAGGGAGCAAGATGGCGGCGCCCACGGGAGGGCGTGAAGTGGGAGGAGCCATGTTGCAGGCGGCGGGAGCGGCTCGGTGAGGCCGCGGGGCCGCGTCCGCCCGTACGGCTCAAGGTCGGAGCCTGRGCCCGGCGGGGAGGCCGGGAGGGGTAGCGTCGTGCGGGGACAGCGACTGATAGCGGCGGGAACTGAAGTTCGGGATTGAGCCACAATTTGCTGGCGTGAGGGTTCTGACCTGAGCCGGGCCCGGGGCTCCCTCTGCCTCCAGCGGTGCGCAGGGCTCGGGGACGAACTTGTACAAGGTGTGTGCAAGGGTCAGGGAGAGGGGACGCTTACAGCTCCGTGACCCTCTGTCTGTGGGATTCCAAAGTACATGTTGGGGACCCCCCTAGGCGGCCTGAAGCGATCCCGGTGAGATCCTGCCCCTTGTTCTGCTTTCTCCGCTCCTGCATCCTGCCAAGMCCGAAACGAAGGAGGCACGGTCCCGTGGGTAGGGCTTAGGACTCAGCCTTCACATTGTAAAACAACTTAAGGTAAGTATGATTGGCAAAATAAGTCTGCGAGAATTTCCTCTGCAGTAGAACATGTAGGGAAAAAAAACATGAGTCACTAAACTCCAGGTGTAATCAAGGGCTATTGTAGAGGATTGACCTCAGCCGGCTGCCAGGTGATACGCTTACCAACTTTCTACCCCCCCCAGAACATGTCAGGGAGAAAGTATGAATAAAATTGGGATTGTGATAAGGACAGGGAGATCAAAACTACCATTACAGTCAAAACATAGTCAATGTTGAGGGAATTTAATATATTGTCAATCAAAACAGAGTAGAATAATTAGAAATAAAGACAAATCCTTAAAACACCTTCTCTCCACCCCTCCCTTCACTCCTGTTTGTCCTCCTCTGTCTTAGCAGTGCAAGAAGACAAGGGAAGGGGGGCTGTAGTCAGTTCCTCACRTGTTGTCTCTACCACTCCTTCCTCCTTACAGTCTTTCCCTTCACCACTGTGTCGTCCCTACCATTACAGACAGCTCTCCACAAACTTTTCTGACAGAACTTCCCACAGGCTGCAGTTCTCTGTGAACTTCTCCTGTGTGGGTCCCTTCCACAGGGGTCAGTCCATCAATAGCAATGCTCCAGTGTGAGTCCCCCATGTGGCCACAGGTCCTGCCAGGAACCCACTCCAGCATGGGCTACTCTTTCCATGTGGCCCCAGGTCCTGCCAGGAGCCTTCTCCAAGGGGCCTCTCACTCGGTCACAGCCTCCTCAGGCATCCCCCTGCTCCTGCATGGGATCTTCCTGGAGCTGCAGGCGGATCTCTGCTCCCCATGGACCTCCATGTGTTGCAGGGTACAGCTGCCTCACCAKGGGCTGCACCAGGGGCTGCACCAGGGGAATCTCAGCTCCAGCACCTGGAGCAGCTCCTGCCCCTGCTGCAATGACCTTAGTGTCTGCAGAGCTGTTCCTCTCACTTGTTCTCACTCCTCTTTTCCAGCTGCTGTTAAGAAACAGTTTTTACCTTTTCTTTCTTTTACCTTTTCTATGTTATCCCACACACAGAACCACTGTAGTGATTTGGCTTAGACTTGATCAGCAGCAGGTCTGTCTTGGAGCCAGCTGGTACAGACTCTGTTGGACATGGCAGAACTTCCTGGCTCCTCAGAAGACAYCCCTTCACTCCCTCTTCTACCCAAACCTTGCCACACAAACCTCACACAACTGTATTCTTTCTAATTTATGTCTACAAGGTATAAAATTATTTGGTTGGGATTTTTTTTTCTAAAGTTCTATTTGATAGTTAAATCAATTTAAACCTAGAGTATTGCCATGCAAAATAGGAAATACGTGTGTGATACATAGTAGTAAAGAGTCCATTGATTCATACTGGGGTTATGTAACTTTGGTTACCTTTGTTTATTTTTTCCTTATGATCCTAGACTTMAAGATGTCAGGAAGAGAGTTTCTTGAACCAGATTCTCCACAGCAAAGACTAATTTTGGAAAGACTTAAGCGAATGGAAATCATACAAAAGATGTTCAATGAGCTTCCTAAAGCAGATCAGTAAGTGCTGGTAAAAGAAATGAAGATAAGTGCATCAAACATTTCAAGTCTTGGAGCTTTTCTTTTTCCTTACTCTTGTATTTCAAATTTTCCTTGCAGTTACAGAATTGCTTAATTGTGAAGATGCTTCTTGTTGTCCAGAAYAGAAAACCTGTTTTATGTTTTTTTTAATATGGTTATTTCAGTGTTGGCTGTGGTCCTGCTCAGCTGGTTTCTGGCATGTGCTCCCCAGTGTTTAGGGTTCTGAGATGGCTGATCAGCCCTGACTGGCTCTGAGCATTCACACAGTCCTGTGCTAGAGCTAATAAATTTTCTAGGAAACTGAAATATGATTCTGCTGGAGTCAGCTTGTGTCCAGCAGGGCTGGCCTGGGGCCAGAATTGAGTGAGCATCAACCTGCTGGTTTCTGCATTTCATTCTGCACAGCTCGCTGTTCCAGGAAGGCGAGACTGAGGTATCCAGGTGGTGGTGGAGGAGTCAGCTGGAGTCCTGCAGGCTCACCAGCAGGGTTCTGTGCAGCACAAAGCAAGCTAAATGCCTTCTGGGCCTCACAAATGACCTTTTTAGTTTGTGATACTGCATATCACTGCAAAACCTTGCTGGACCTGAGCTGGTTCTGTTAGGAGCCATTTGCATGTGTGTATTAGCTTGCATAAATTTTGTAGAAATCAGAGTAATCAGAACCTTATTTTATTTATATTTTTTTAATAGGACTAAATTGGTGGCTAAACAAACTGGTAGTAAGACAGGGCCTCCCCACACAGGTGAGAAAGAAAAGGCTTCAGTTCTGTATAGGATCTGCCACCCTSACATTCATCTTCCAACACTCCTCCTTCCTGAGGAGAGCGGGGGAGGCAGATACCTTAGTGGTGATGTGGTAATGTCTGGATCGAAACTCTGGACATAGAGACTGCTGGGCCTTGGAAAGAAGTAGTTGCCAGTCCCTGGCAGGACTTACAGTATATGCAGGGGGGAGCTCACTAATGCCTGGAAAGGAAGAGCRAGCATGCTGCAGTCAAACTGAGAGAGTTCTGTTTGCCCAAACACTTGTTTTTAATACTAGGGAGCTCAAATAAACAAAAAACCTCAAACCACAACCCTTCCATCCTCCTTTTCTTTCCTTTTGTGCAGTGTAGCAGTTGTGTACTTCACCAAGTAGATTCTGCTGGTCCTGGGTACRTTCATTTGCTCTGGTTTGGATACTTTAATATGCTGCTAAAATTTTAATCTTGGTCCTCTATATTTATGAATGTACTTGCCTGCATTTCACTGCCTGTGATTGTAATGGTATTTTTCTCTTCAAAACAAATAGCTGGTGTCCTTGATGTCCAACATTTTTTGTGTTTTAGGTTTTGCAAGATAAGCAAGTACATCTCCGAAGTCCATGTTTTTTTTCAGTGCTTTATATTACTTGAAACATTAAAATGTAGAAGAATTATAAGTAGATTGACTTGACTTTTTAAAATTATGTATTTTATTGTAACATTAATTTATTTTCAGAAAACATTATCCTTAGAAACATGCTGATTAGGAGAGCTTTAATGGCRTTTCCATTAACTGTAATAACTGGGAAAAAATTGTAGTCAAGACTTTTCAACCTATCACTTCACTCTTGAAGTGTGTGTAAACTCATGCATGTAACAAAGGATGCTGCACTGGTTGCTTTTGGAAGTAGTTACTCTCCATTTTGCACCGGTGAGAGATTTGGATGTTTTACCCCTTGTTGCAGGATTTTAAGAAGAGAATTGCAGTGTTGAATAAACTAAACTTTTTTACATTCTCAGTTGCTGAAATGACTTTCATTCTTTCACAGGAACCTTTGTAATCATGGAAAATACTTCCTAGCAGCAAATTCAAGTTTATGTGGCTTAGCAGCAAATAATTTCTTCAGGAGCATCCTACATGTCAGAAAGGCTGCCTTGGTGTCTGCTATGCCAATGGCTGTGATTCCATTTATTTCAACAACAGCGGTTTATGAAGTTTTTGTGCGTGACCCTTTATTTTCAGGTAAAAACCTCTTTATTCCCTTTTTTTTTTTTTTAAGGGCTTTGCTTTCTCTACACAGTGTAACATTAGACGAGCTTTTCCTCCCTGCTGAACAGTGCTCTTGAGCTGTTGTGGTCTTAAAAAAMCCCAGTTTGTAAAGCAGAGTTTGAAAAACAATGCATTGAAGAGCAGTGAGGAGATACATATGTTTGTATATATTTCCAAAAAACTTTCTGTTACACATTACTTACTTTTAGCTTTTTTCATTCAAAGTCATGTAAAAGTGACTGCAACAAAGCAGTTCAGTTTCCTCCCATCTACAGAATTTCATGTGAAGGTGAGCTTTAGAATGATAAAGTCTTCATGTGTTGGAATGGGAGTGATCTTTTTAGTTTGGTTTGTTGTGGATTGGTTTTTTTTTTGTTTGTTTAAAGGAAGAGTCCTACTTTCATAATTTTTTGTATATCTGTACAGCTTGGCCGTGTCTGTCAAGAGCTTGTTTTCAGGTTCTTGCAGGCAGCTTATAAATTGATGTGGTAGAGCACATGTGGATATTGGCAGTGAAATATTGTTTCCCATGCAGGTCAGCTGAACTGTGAGGTCTGTGCTGTGGTCAGAGGAGGATTAGTAGGTGCTGTTGTGGGTGGTCTCTATCCCATTTTCCTGGCTATCCCCTTGAACGCAAGCCTTGCAGCCAGGTATGTCTTACAAACCTGCAATGATTTAAATGTATTTATGGGTTAAATCTTCAGCTCTTAAGGTAAATTCTGCGGGTATTTAGTCTGTGCACGCTTGTCTTCTTGTAGGCATGTAGTACGTGGAACGAGATTTACATTAAGGTCATCTAATTACAAAGTGAAGTGTGTAAGAGTTACACCAAAGTGAAATAAGATCTGCAAAGTAATCCACTGGGAAGCCCTGGTGTTTTTCAGGAAGTCACCCAGGATGTGCCAGTGTGTGTGCAGTAGTGGCTGCCATCCAACYGAGCACCAAAGGTGGCTGGACACCCAAGAGACCTCACTGACCCTGGGCAGTGCCTGGCTGCCGAAGTTCCTGGCAGGTTCAGAGCAGTTCAGAGCACAGCAAGGGCAGGGCAAGGCTTGGTGAGACCTAGGATGTGGTCAGGGTGTTTTCAAGCTTTTATCCAGAGCTCAGTACYGCCAGGTGAATTTAACTTAAGAGAAGGAGGAGACAATTACTACCTACATAAATATTTATATTGAAACTTGACACTTGCATGGGAAAAAAATAAGTTTCTACCACTGTTTTTCTTCAGGTATATGTCATCTCCCTTGCCAGGGAAAGAAAATCTATTACGTTACTGGCTCACAACTGCTCAGCCTGTCTTTAGAAAGATGTCTCTGGGTATACTGGTACAGGCTCTGACTGGATTATATCTTGCCACTAAACAGCACGGAATATATGTCAAAATGCTTCTGCAGATGAACACCAGCAGGGATCCTGAAGAGCTACCTGAATGAAGAAAAGCAGCTTTTCAATTGCCTTGGATAAGTAATCACAATAAACAAGGAAAAGAAGTGTTGCTTGCTGTCTCTTTTTAATAGAAAAAARGAAAAGCTAAGACTCTGCGCTGGTATTTTTTAAGTTTTGAACTTAAATGCAAGTTAAGCTTTTCATTAAACCCAGTTAAGTGTTTATACTTGAATAACAGATTCGTGTGTTTCTTTGGAAATGGGGGGGCAAAAAAGCATTTGTAGTGCCTACATAGATTTAAAAAAAAAAAAAGGAAAAAAAAAAAGGGAAGATCAAGGCAAGGTTTTTCTAGAGATTGCACAAAATCTGAGTATTTTTCTCTCTTCTCCATTCTACTAGCACTAACCTGTCACAACATTACCCCTATTGGAAGGTCACACCGTACACTGTAGCGAACAGAACACAGAACAATCAGAAGTGTTAGTCGTGTTTGGCTTCCCAAAATATAAAAAAAACAGGCTTTGTCCTTGTTGATGAACACACTAATAGCAAGCATGTATTTTACGTGTTCAGCACTGTCCTGTCATGTCAAAAGTCAGAACATTCCTGAGACTAGAAAGGTGGTGTGTTTATGAACAAGGTATAACTTTTCAGTTACACCCTCTGTACTTTTTCTTAAACTATTGAGGGGAAAAAATGTTCTCAGAAGTTAATGAATAAAGTCTGAAATTGTTTCAGAATTCCACAGGACAGCAAGACGCTATCCCATTTCTAGCATTTGTGTGGAGGAGTGCCTGCACAGGAATCTAGAAATGCTCCTTCTGTTCTCAATTTCATACACGGGGTATGACCTTCCTCCTACAACCCCCAAGGAGTCACAGGAGGAACTTTTACCAGTCCTTGGCCTCTGACAACTGTAATAAACTCCCCACAGAGTGAGAGCAGGTTCTAGTTGGATCCTTTCTTCCACCACTGTAGTAGAAACAAGCCAGACACAGGCTATGTATCCCAGAGAAAGGACTTCAGGCTATTCCAAGTCTGAACTACTGCCAAAAGAATGCCAAGACTAGCTAGAGGTAAGAGCCAACAGAAGTACTATAAAAGCACCGCTTTTATCTTACAAATGTACCATTTTATATGCTGTCTCAACATTACAATCTATTCTACTGCTCCAGCAAATGATACCCTCATTCTCCTGGTATATRCACGAGCCCTGCTCTTGGCATCCTCCTGCTAATGAGCACAGGCAGAATTATTTCTCCACATCTGCATATCCCACTTAAASTGGGTGGAAAACTGTAAAATCAGCAGCCTTTAATGTGCAGTTTTTGCACAGGGTGTTCTTTAAACCAAGTCCATGTGAACAGCTCCCATACCTAACATATCCTTCAGACATTTTACAGTGTAACTAATAGTAAATATAGCCTTATAACCAGAAAATTGCTATTACAGCAGAAAACCTCCTTAACGCTAGAAAACATAAGGTTTTAAAAATCAGGAAATGTACAAAAGGTCTTTCTGTTTCACCAAAAATCCCAGTGTTTCACAGGGAAAATTGACTGCAGTTTTGACAAATGGCATGAGAAATCTGATTATCTGGAAGTACCAAGAGGTGCCATGTGTTGGACATGGTTCCCTGCATCTCCTTTCATACCATCTCTCCAGGCAGCTACAGATCACAGAAGCGCCAATCTTTTTTTTCCTCCCAGATGCTGCAAAGCTCTTCAGAGGAAAGAGAAGTTAATTGAGAATGCTACTAAGAGTCACAGCACCAGAATCAAACTCCAAAAGACTAAAGGAGAACTGAGCACGAAATTGTTTCTTACTTAAATGCTAAATAGTCTTCAACTGACTCAGGTGGGAAAACCAGATGGTAAATACATAGCTATGTAGCTGAACACTGGCAGCCCTTGGTTCTGTGGTATGTACAATTTACCACATATTTCAGTGCTGAACAAGGTATTTCTTACAACTAGAGGCCAAAAAGATAGAACATGCCAGTATGCTTTTACATTTTTATGAGGTATTTTTTGTGAAATGCTCCTTTTTATCAAGCTGCAGACYACTTTCACTAGAATCTCCCACTAGAAAGCCAGTGCACTATTTTAAACTGTCCTCTACAAATAAAGCATTTAAGATGAATAGAAATCTAAATGTACAGTGCATGGCTCACTCTTGAGCACTAAAAATGTTCCATCCTTTCAGGACTGTCAAACCTTGGTTTTAACACTCACTGTGCTGTTTAGTGTGGAAATAGCAATTTGATCAGAAATTGTGATTCAACAGCATATAATCAACTACTCATGAAACTTCAGATCCTAAAAATAGAACAGAAAGGAGGAAGATGCCAACAGACCACATGTATTGGGTCAATGTTGTGCCAATCCTGTATTCCTATATTCTGTCAGCTTGTATGGCCAAAAGGTGTCTGTGCCTTTAAATCTGACCCAGAAGAAGGGGCAGGGGCAGCACGGGCAGTTTAAAAGCTGGGGCTGCCACACAGCCCTGGGTTTTTTGGACCTCAGCATCGGAGCTGCGGGAGTCTTTGCTCACGGCTGCAGGGGAGTTACGTTGTTGCCGTTTAGCTAGCTCGGGTTTGTTAGCTTGGGCAAACAGCTCTCCTTGGAYTGCTACTCTTTTCTCCGAGCCRTGTGATTTTTTTTTCTTCTGGAGCAATTCGGTGGCCRGCGGGGACAAGCTGCACCACTATATCTCATCCYAGACTCCGGAAGAAGCCAAGCTGGCAACAGAAAGCACACCAAGCTCTCTGTTTCATCCATAGTGAGGACTATCCAGGTTTTGCCACTGTTGCCCAAGCCCCATGTGGACTTTTTCTTTTGTTTCTTTTTTCCCCAGGGACAGGGGCCACCATCTTTCTCYGCACCACTGGCTGAGCGGCTGTGGGGGAGAGGGCAGCGAGCATTCCTGAACTTTTAAATATCTAACAGTTACTTTTTTCTGTGTCCTGTGAGCACCGTGTTTTGTTAATAAACTACTTTTTTTTTTCCTCTTCACTTTTGCCCAAACATCTATTTCATATTGGTGGGAAAAAAATAGCAAATTTTTCACTTCAGAGGAAACATTTACTCTGTAACATTTTTCTCTGCAAACATTGTCTCAAACCAGGACACCACAGAAGGGTTCATGTAAGTATTTTATGCCTCCATRGTATATTGATCAAACATAACTATATTAATGAAGAATTAAGAACAACTATGAAATATAAGAAGTGCTGATTCTCAGAAGTATAGCTCTATCTGCAGTTCAAGGAATAACACCTTCCTGTTGTCCTCACCACAAAATTACCTTTAAGACAGATAAGCAAGAATTACTCCTTTATACCCTGATCCATTTTATCTTGTTTTGAAGTTGATGACCCACAGAGATAGCAGCAACATTTTCCCCAGTTTTCCCATTTTGTTTTAATGAACCAAGACATTAAAGAGAAGATGAAAAAACATTTGAACCCATAAACTGAAAGATCAACAAGTCTGATTTTATTATGATATTGTATTCTTATCTGAATGGCACATAATTACAAAGAAACATTTACAATATATTTTCAAGTATTAAGTTATGTCATTTCAAGGCTTTCACTTCAAAAAGCTACATTAATAATACACCATACAAATAGTACAGTCAGTTAGAGTTTCAAATAACTTCCTCTCCTCTATTTGGTTTAAATATGATTCAGTAGGCACTAGAAATGCCTGCAGCCACTGACTTTCTTGGGACTTGACCTTGTTCTTGTACCACAATACATGATTTTGCATGTCAGAAAATCAGCTGCTCTTAGACACAGCTCACAGGTCGTGTCATGACAGAGCATTGTGCAGGTTCACAGCAGAGGCCAGAACTATCCCTGACCCAGCCATTCAGCAGTGATGCGACAAGAAAGAATGCATATTTAAATTAACTTAAAAAACACTCCTACACTGAAGTAACCTTAAAAATGCCACTGGAACATCCCATACTTGCTACATTAGTGTTTCTCTTTTTCTGAMGCATGTTAAACTGCAAAATAAAGCACGTTCATGAAGTCTGAGCTAGGCAGGTTGAGATTARGTTGAATCTAAATTATTTCCATTTTGCATATCAATCAGTGCAGGTCCTGGTGGTTAACTGACTCCTGTGCACTGGTAAAACCCATCAGTTACAGCAGTTACCCAAGTTAAGACTGAAACTTTGAATAGCCCTGTTGATGCCACCRCAGAGTTGTAAGGTCAAACATATCCCACTAAGTCTCTTTTGTGCTGGCAATATCCCCTGAACAGATGGAATTCTGCATACAGTGGAGTAAAACCTGTTTAACAGAATATTGCCTTTTTAAAAGAATCATCTTGGATGACAGTAAATAATCCCAGCATTCAACTGTTTTTTTAATACCAAAGACAGCAAAAGCCCTGTTACCTCTTTATTCTCATTTCTTATACTACCTTTTAAAATAAAGCAGGAAATGTGGCCAGCAGCTGGTCCCGTCTCTTCTGCCCCAACACAGCTGAATCCACTTTAGCATAAAGAAAAACAAGGATGCTAAATACACATATACTTTATCACACAGTGATGTTTCACAAAGAAAAATCAAACTCCTTTTATACTGATGAACACATGACAGGGTCTAGCACCACTAGAACAAATTACTGGGAAAAAATGCTTTCACCTACTTAGCCTTAAACACAAAATTTAAGGCTTTAAGAAACAAGACTTCAGAAACACTAAATAGCATCTTTTTTTAAAAGAAGTTAATAAATTAAACTGTTTTAGAAATGTATTCTTTGTGAAACCTCACTTTACATATTATCATTTTCACAATCCTTCTTCCCCCAACTGACATACATTTAAACAACCTAAACATTATAATACAACTGAAAAAAGAACCCCCTCATCTTTTGTGATAGGGAGGAACACTGACTAGTACAAGAAAACACACACTATTTGTTTGTCAAACTATTTTTCCTATCTCAGGAGAAATTACGGAGCATTTTTCAAATCATTAGCCTCAAGACATGTATTTGCTCATCTCCAAACTGTGCTTAATTATATCAGGTTACAGATTTCTGGATACTGTAAGAGGCTAAATTAAAAACTCTACAGTAAAATTAAGCACACTTATACATGCAATATTTTTAAAATTTAAAGCTACTCTGAGGTAACAGGAATTTCAGTGTGCATAGGCACAAAGAGATTTACTTATGGGAAGGTAAAGTAACAAGTTACTTCGATGCACTGATTCA